TTAGATGTTACAAGAGATCTTATCACTAAGTATATTAGTTTGATCCACATGGATGCTACGACAATGGTGAATCCTGTCTTTATGCTGCTGCTAGAGGTAGTCACGTTGATATAGTTGAATATCTTATTAAAGAGTGTTACAGTTATCCAATGAAGACTACAAATACTGAGTATGGCTGGACGACTGTTCTTCATTATGTAGCTAGGGAAGGATTACTGGATGTCTTGAAGTGTATGGTCATGCACATCAATGGTCATATAATGGATGAACAATATCGTGATACTAATGGTCGAACTGTTCTTCATCTTGCTGTTAAACACATAGATGTTGTGAAGTACCTCATTAATGAGTGTAAATATGATATAATGGCCACTGATAGATCTAAATATGGAAATACTATTTTACATGATGCAGCTAGTCAAGGATCACTTGATGTCATGAAGTACCTCATCAATACTCATCACTATGATCTAATGACTAACAATAGTGGTGAGACTGTTCTTCATTTTGCTGTTAAATTTATAGATGTTGTAAAGTACCTCATTAATGAGTGTAACTGTGATATAATGGTCACTGATAAGGATGGGCAAACACCTCTTCATTATGCTGCCAGGAGGGGTACACCTGAAGTTATTGAATACTTTTTATCTACTGGTAATTGTGATCCCTTGGCTAAAGATTATGAGGGGAAGACACCATTACAACTAGCTAAAGGGAGGCAGGATGACAGTGATACTGTCATTGCTATCTTCAAAAAGTTTGGTGACATTAAAATATCTCATCCAATTGATTCTTATGTTAATGTTTTCCTTGTGGGTAATTCTGGAGCTGGTAAAAGTACTCTTAGTCATGTCATCAATATGACAACTACTGGTTCTATTGCTCTTGGTTCCTTTAGAAATGCTGCAAAGGTAGACCCCTGTACTGCTGGCATCAAGCCTTATAAACTAGAACATATGGAGCTGGGTAACATCATTCTTCATGATTTTGCTGGTCATCCAGAATACTACTCCAGTCACAGTGCTGTTATTGAGAATCTGTTACAAGGTTCTGGTGGTGTGTTCCTGATAGTAGTCAATGTATTGGAGAAGGAAGCAGTCAAACAGCTTCATCAGTGGCTAACAGTTGTGAGAAATGAAGCACAGAAAGTTCTTAATCAATGCCATGTTATTGTAATAGTCAGTCATGTGGATGAGATAAGTAATCCTGTTGAAAGGAGGAGAAAGGAAGAAATAGAGATTATTGTAAAGGAAAGGTGTGATAGAGTCTCATGTGTTTTCTTAGATTGTCGTAAGCTTGGTGGGAGTGGTGTGAATTCCTTCTTCAAAAAGTCATCTATTGCTTGTAAGTCCATTCATAGTAAAAGTGGAAGGAATTTGAGTCTCTATTGTCACATGATGTATGGTCTATTGGGGAAAAAGAAAAAGGATATATTGACCCTCTCTGATGTAATGGCTGCTAGTAGGTGTAGTAATGATTATGTTTTACCAGATAAGAGAGAAGACATCTTGGATGTTCTTGATTTGTTGTACTCAACTGGTTTGATCAGTGTTCTTAAGAGTGAAGAAAAGGTATGGGTTGTTGCGAATAAGGACATACTACTAACTCAGGTGAATGGGATTCTTTTTGCTCCAGAGACATTCAAAGAACATGTTGACATTGCTAGCAATACTGGTATTGTTAGTGTATCTGGTCTGACTAGACTTTTCCCTAAATATGATCCTGACATGTTGATCTGTTTCCTGAAGAACATGGAACTCTGTCAAGAAATGAATCCGTCTTTCCTAAGAATGACAAACTTAATAGAAGGAGATGGAGAGAAGACAGGAGACAGTGCCTCAGAGACTCAAAGAAGAGAAAAAAGGTTGTTGTTCTTTCCATGTCTTTTGTCTACTGATAGACCTGATGAGATGACTAGTCAAGTGTACCAGTTTGGTTGGTGTCTACAGTGTACTAGAGAACATCATTTCTTTCCTCCTCGATACTTTCATGTCCTCTCATTACATCTTGCTTTTAAATTTTCTTTATCTCAAGGGAACAAAGAATTAGCTGAAAAATTGAACCGTAAATGCAAATTTTGGAGCAACGGACTTCACTGGTTTGATGGCTATGGTGTAAAAGTATTGGTAGAGATTGTGGATGAGAGCCAGTGTGTACTAGTAATGATGTCCTGTGAGAAAGGTTACAGTGACAATATGGTGTCTCTAAG